TATCATGACCCCTGTGTTTTATAACCTGATAAGAGTTTGATCTTTGGCACAAGCAATTTGTCTCTCTTTAGTCTGTACAAAACTGCCAGTTCTATGGGAACTGCAAAATTTCACAAATACAGAGTTGGTTAGAAAATCAGACTGCAGTCTGCTCCCTTAGCTGCAGAAGTTTAGCAAAATTACACTCCTAGGTAGTAAATGAAAGAACATTCCTCTCAATTGCAAAACTACTCTGCATTTTCTGCCAGCTGTGGAATTGAACCTATTGAAAAGTTGCTTTTCTGCAATGGTCAATGCTGACTGTAAGCAGTGGGCTTGTGAAGTGAAAACTGAGAATTTAGGTTTTGAGCTACAAAATACCTTCTGCGATGTAGAACTCAGGAGCTATTTCACCTGCTCATATGCTTTATTGAAAGCTCTTAAATTCCTGTCAAAAATGATGTCTTAATAAAAATGGTATCTTATTAAAAGCTGTAGTTGGTAAAAAATGTATTTCAGCTCAAAATCAAGAGTTGATGAACTACTAATATATGAAAATGGAAGTAGAAAATATTCTCTGAATTTTGTTAGGCTGCAAATTGTGCATATTTTGAAACCTTCTAGGGACTTTGTGTGGTTTTGCCTTTGGCTGAATCTTCTGACAGCTTTGTGGTTGTAACACTTGTAGCTGTTAAATGAAGATGGGAGGAAAAATCTCCTAGAAGTGGTAGTAGAAAGTTTTCATAAAGTACTGCACTTGCTGGTCATGCTGTGACAATTAAAGAAAGTATCACAGAAACAAAAATCCTTAAGGCTAGTTTCCATTTTATTTGAAAATGTATAAGCAGACAACCAAAATGAAGGGGGCAACATAAGCAATAGTTCAACAGTTCTGACACTGGTTGGCTGGGGGATTTTTTGTTCATTTGTTTGTTTTCATTGGTTTGGGGGTTTTTTTTGGTTGCTGGTTTTGGTTTCTTGGGAGTGTTTTTTGGTTTTTTGTTGTTGTTGCTGTTCTATACTAAGAAAAAAAATGAGGGTTTTCTGATATATATATCTTTAAGTTTCCACCAAGTGCATTGCGATTTTTATGCACAGAAGCTGTGCATAAAATGCTATTTCAAAAAGAGTCTAATGCTTTTTTTGCCAGTACCTAATATTATGTTCTCTGTTTTAATGCTCCAATACATATTTTTGATTTCCATGGCATCCTTAATTTGTTAATCCTTGTGGTATCACAAAATTTGTGCATGGCATGGTTTTGGGTTTTTTTTAATTCTCCCCTACAGCCCCCCCACAGATTCAGTTAAGCAGAATAGTTTATTGGATAGTTAGTTTCTCCTCTAAGTTTTAATTTGCCTATCCATTATGATTTTTTTCTTGGTGGATATTTCATAGGAGAGCTGAAAGAAACAGATTTCTTTAGCTCTGACTGCCACACAAACCAATGTAATTTAATGAAAGCGTTAAAGGTTTTTACAAAAAGTCATTTTTCTCTTGCTTCCATTCTGTGTGGTCTCCATGAAAATAATATTACATCTCACCAGGTTTAAATAAGGTAAATTACTCCCCTGCTGCCTACACACCAAATAAATGGTTACCCTTTCCATAACCCTTTTTCTTGGACCAAGTCTTGCCCAGTTTTCAGTTTGGGTTTCATTTTTCCCCCTTGGTGCTGTCTGGCTTTTAGTTATTTTCAGCTGAGACTGGTACTTTATTCATCATCTCTGAATGATATTACTTGCCTTTATTTCTTCTGTGTTTTCCCCAGAAAGAGAGAAAAAAGGGCCACTCAAACCTATTACATGATGTCCACAAACAAGATTTTATTCAGCTTACAGATGCTCTAGCTGCTTGGGTTCTACTTATTTCCAAATCTTCTTACTACAGGAGCTGAGTTGCACTAAAAATAGTGATTTTAATTGTTGTTGATCTCTTGCTCTTTGATTCATGTTGCTTGCTTTGGGTATGGCTTTGGTAGTAAGTACTGAGCACTAATAATGCAGTGCATGCAGGTTTTGATGATTATTGTCTCTACATTTATTAAATATATAAAATGTGTTAAGAAGACGGCACCTTATGGAACAATTTCCTGATGACATCTAGCTGTTCTGATCTGACAGATAATGTCTGTCTTGTTTTTAAATGGGAAAATAGTTACTATTTTTTCAATTATAAAATATTTATGGTCTGCAGTTAAAATTGAAATTTCCTTCTTTAAGAATAGTAATGTCTTTAAAGGCAAGATTTAATCTAAGTTACAGATCCCCTTATTGATAGTATTTGTGTCTCTTTGGCCAGACAAAAAAAAAATACAGAAAAATATGTCATTAGGTAAATTTTTGGTCATGAAAAATGTTAACTGTACACAAATCTAGGGGTAAAGTGGTGACTTTTTATTTAGAAAGATCTAATATTTAAATGGCAGTACAGTATTACTTCTGTAAAAAATACTTCATGCAGACAAAGGTATTTTAGTATTTACATTTCTGCATTATATGATACTAGTTTAGTGCTTAATTTAATCATGTTTCTTTTATCAGTGTATTTCACATTTACTGCCCATAAACTCTTGCACTTTTGTCTGGATAAAATAATTGTTGCGGTCTTATGTATTTAAAAGAATGTGAACACTGATATTCAAGAACTGAAAGAACTGAAAAGTTTTCCAGTTTGAAGTTATAATAATTTCACTTTAAATTATTTAACTGGTTAATAAATAGGTTTTTTATGTAACTATTTATATGTATATGCATACATATACATATGTATCTATATATATTTATGTGTGTATGTATATGTATAAATTTATATATCATATGTATAAATTTTTCACTTTCTATATAGAAACTTGGTGTTGACTCTTTTGTTATTGCTTGTGGTGCTTGAGGGCTGATTCTGCTAATTGCCAAGTAGATTTTGTTTTAAGTAAAATAGTAGTGGAAATTATGATGAAACAGGGTAGTTTGGAGGACTAAGCCTTCAATTTGTGTCGTGTCTGTGATCAGGTGCATGTCTGTGGTTTGAATGTATGTATCTCAGAAGACAAAGTTTAAAAAGAAAGGGTTTTCCCACATCTGTGCATTTGTTTTGTGACAGAGATGGTTTTGAGATGGTAACTAATGTTAAAAAATGAGACTTTTTGTGGAGACAAAAAGCTTGCAGTTGTTTTAACTCACATAATTGGAATTACATTTCTAAGCCTCCTGGAAGTTAATTATCAAAAATTATGGAAGTTCATTATTGGAAACAAAGATACTGAAAAATAATAATGAATATGTTATGCTTAAATCAACTTTATTAATCCAAAGTGAATCTCTCTTTTAAGTTCCTGCTGCCACATCTCTCATATCTTGCACAATAAGCAATTCTATATAATCCTTTCTTCAAAGAGCAATAGCAAGATGAAAACTGCACAAAATAATTTTACTTACGTGAAGGTTTAAAACTCTGGACCCATGATTGTGGAATGGAAATAAAGAAGCATTAAAACTTCAAAGGAATGCTCATGTTTTTTCAAAACACATTTTTCAGCTCAGATAATCAGTTACAAGAGGTATCCTTGCATCAGGATTTAAATAAAATGGAAATGGACACTGTTGAAGATCTGAGAAGAAAACTCGAAAGTCTAGAGAAAACAAATTTGGAATTAAACAATCAACGCTTTAAAGAGGTAAGGAGATTTTTTGTTTGTTTGCTTTATTTTACCCTTAGAATAAATGTAATTTATTCTACGGGTAAAAATAAAATTAATTTCCTTAAATGCAATTTGCTTCCTTGAAATAATCCTCTCATCAGGTGAGTAAAAATCACATTCAGAAGTTGGAAAATAACAAAGTAGCACTGTACAGATATCTCATGCCTGTCCCTAGGAACTGATATCACTTTTAGTGTCATTGCTAAGAGCTGAAGGTGTGTGTAAGAAACCTGAGCAGTACACAACAGTACAACCATGCAGGAGAATATTTTGCACCCCCAGCTTTGGAATTCTCAGCATAAGATGTGGTTTGTTTGTCTGTTTGTCTGAGTATTTTAATCCCAGTAATTCCAGGGGTCCATTTTACAGAATCACCCCACCATTGATGGAGCAACGGGGTCAGGACAAGGGCAAAGCCCTGTGTAAGAAGCAGCAATCCTTAAACAAATGGATAGGGAGCAACAAACTTGGTTTATTGGCTGTATTTAATAGGAAAGAGATGAATGAGCATCCACACCAGATGCCCCTAAAAAACTGATAAGAGCAGAATTGTTACTTATATCAGTAATAAAATTCAAACGAAAGAAAATTTTAATGAAGCATTTTCTCACTGCTACTTCATTTAGGTACCAGTTTGCCACAAGAGCATCAGGGAAAACCTTTGTAAGGGGGCTAAATTATTTCCTGTGAATGGGGCATGCATGAAGGATGCTGCTGCTTTGTAGATGTTCTGAAGAAATTCATGTTTTACTTTCCACCTTCTTGAGTTCTAATGGCTTGAATGTGGTTTCCTGGGTCTAGTTTTGGCAGCACTGACTAGACTATCTTTCTTACACCAGATAAGAGTCCTTTTTGAAGCCTTTTCTTTGTTTTGTTTGTTGTGTTTAATAGCATTCTGCTTGACTGCCGAACATCATTGGACTGAAGTTTGTGTTTACATAGTGAGTTCCTAGGTGTCTGATAATCTAATATCCCAATACAACTGCTTTTCTAGTTGCTAAATACAGTTACCATAAAACTGCCTGTGGAATATAATTGTAGCTTTTATTTTCTTAAGGCAGAGCATGTTTGGAAAAACAGAGAGGTACATTTAAGGTACATGAAAATGATCTAGGAACAGGATCAGTTTGCATAAAAAAAATAAAAGTATCTAAAATGTGTGGTTTCAAGACTGTATTTAAAAATCAGATGGGATAAGATGGCAGCTGTGAATGCAATCTCTGAAATATTTATTTTCTAGATGTCTCGCTATGAAAAAGAAATACTGCAATTAAGGTTGGAACTTGAGAAAAGAGAACTTCTTCATCAAAATCTGGAGAGTGAAATGAAATTTGCTAGAAAAGAAGCTAATTTACAGCTGTATTCTGCAGAGGATGAACTGTGTGATGCAAAAACCAAAGTTATGGAACTTCAAGGTAATTTTCAAAAAAAAAAAAAAAATCATGGCCAGAGGATACACCAGTCCCAAGTCATTAAAAAAGCAGAGATTGCACAAGGTTTTACAGTTACAGCATTCTTTGAAAGTCTCTTATTTTCTTATTTTCCCATGTCTTACTCATCTGCTTCTATAGGCTCATAAGAGTTTGCAAAACCCTTGCTGTCTCGTATGAATTAAATATAACCTGCTATGCCTATCAATACCTTTGTTTTCTCTTGCTCCTTACCTTCTGCTATTCCTTCCTTCAGTGTGTACAGAATTGTAATTAAGGAATCCCTCTCCCCATCCTGCTTATCACTATGTCCAGCAGTTCTTCCTTTTTATTTTCAGGGGGAAAATATAATAAAATCAAACCCTGTTTATTTGTTTACACTCTTTCCAAAAAGCTTTGTCTTTCTCCCCAGGAGTTCTCATCGTGCTGCTTTTTTCTTTCACCTTTTCAGATATTTCTAGCTTTTTGTTGCTCATATCTGGCCTCTTCATCTCATCTTTGGTTTTGTTTAGTTTGTGGAAAAGAATGGTTTTACCTGCACATTTTTCCCCTACTAGTTTTGCATTCAGAAACTTAAGTTATTAATTATTCTCAAGCAGAAAGAGATTTCTCACTCTTAAAAGCTGGGGAGATTTTTTTTTGTTTGTTTGCTTGGTTTTTTTTTTGTTACCTAAGTAAATAAAATGCTGTTTAAATTCAGTACAGGAGATGTATTTGGGAATCTTTGGTGTTCACTGAAAAGACTGGAGCACTCCTGAACTTTGTAACCTTACAAGGATGGAAGGAGACTCTGAAACTTGAAAGTGCATTTACACTGCCATATTTTTTAAAAGATAATAAGAATTCTGCACTTTCATTCATTTGGAGAACACACAAATTACAAAAATCTTGGTTGGTTTAAATTTCTCAAGCTGTTTTTTGTTTGGTTGGGGTTTTTTTTGTTAGTTTAGTTTTGTTTTGTTCTGTTCTTTGTTGGTTTTTTTCCCCCGGTTTTGTTTTCATTGTGATAAATGTCAAAGCCAAATAGTTGCAGTGTTGCTTCTCATTTCTTTTTCAGTTTTTAACTTACTGCTTCTTCTTCCTTGTCTCTTGGAGCCTTGCTCACCTCGTGTGGTGTTTTTGACACCATCTCAGCTTAACTTCTTGGACAGAGCACCTCACTTGTGCCCTTTCTTTAGTATCCTCTCCAAAGTGTTTTTCTGCTGTTCTTCTTGAGGTTCGATTCCTGACATCTGACAGGTCTTTTCCATCATTGTGTCCACAAATTCTCTGTGTTTTCCCAACATGTCTCTTCTGGTTTTCTCAGCCTTCTCCATCTAGGAAGAAATTTCAGAAGAATGGGATGAATTTGAAGTAAAAATCTATTAGAAAGTGGTGATCACATAAATGCCAACATAGCTAGTTGTACTCAGCAACATAAAAAAAATCAACATATTTTGACGGAGTTTGTGAAATGAAGCAAAGTTCCTAGTAAAACTGCTTTTAGGAAAAGAGCTCTTCCTTGGGATTTACGCTTTAACAGAGAAGTAGATCCAGTATTTCCCTATCTTGGGGCAACCATTGGGCTGAAGATTTAACTCTCTTGAGCAGCAGTAAATTTCCCCAGAAAAGCTAAGCCTTTGCTCATTAGCCCAACCTGCCTAAGGTTTTCCTAGAATCATTTTCATGTGGCTGGTGTTTGTCTTTATTGATACTTAAAATGAGCTTGAAATTAATTGCTACAGACTGAAGTATCTCATAAATATTTGGAAATAAGCTAGCCAAGTGTTGCAGAAAAATGTAATTAAGTTATTAAGTTCCCTATGCTATAGAGGCCTCACTTGAAAGAGTTGAATTTTTATTCCTTTCCAAAGGGAGAAGAGCTGAAACTTGTAGAAATCTCCAAAGCATTTCTATGTCCTTGTGTGAAAGTTGCTGCAGGAACACAAAATGTGATTGTTTCTCTGTAGTGAAACTGGAAGTGTTACTGTTCCAGTGTTTCACAGGATATCACAATATACAGAGGAACTTATGTTCATTATACTTTTTTTCTGAACATGCTAATTTTCAGTGCTATTTTTCTTTTTCTCTTTCTCTTTTTTTTTTTTTGTAAACAACAGTAATCAATGACAAACATCAGCAAAAAGCATCAGAGATTGAGAAATTAGTTCAAAGTGATCAGTGGCAGCTTCAAGCAGAGCAACAAAGATGTGCAGTGGAGAAGGATAACATCCACAGAGTACACCTTGCTGAGCTAGAATTCCTCATTAGAGAAAAAGCTGAAGCAGAAATGGCTTTTCAGGTATGATGTATTAATAGATGGAAAGTTCCATGAGATGCTGGCTGAAAATTTTTTGGTACAAAGTGTGGGGTGGGTTGGAGGTTTTCTGGTTTAAGGGGGAAAAAAATCCCCCAAATAGCTAAATACTGCAGAATGATACTGAAGATTACAGAAGTAATGAAGTTACAGAATTATGAAGTTATTACACTTAGTGTGTAATGCTGGTTTGGGGCTTTGATGGAAGGTGTTGTGCCTGTTTGTCATGGTAAACACCTAACCCAAATTATCAGTACACAGGGGTAGTGAAAAACAGAGGAGCTTGTGGACAGGACCTGATGTCCTTCTCAAAACAAGCAGAAACATGAAGCCTCACTTTGGGCGCCAAAATATTTGAATATGAATCCCAATATCACCAGGTAGATTGTGCCTGGGCCAGTCTGACCCTTGCTGCTGGGCCAAAGGCGGCTACTGTGGTGTGTCACCCCAGAGACACCTTTAGCTTGCTGGTGGTTGCAGCTGGGCAGCTGAACAAGTCCAGGCTTGTTAGGAACTCCGTTTACCTCAGGAGAGAAGGCTTCAGGCTATGGTGAAGAGAAAGGAGACGGATTCTGGTGGAGGGTTGATATCCAGAGCTTTATTCCATGGTCACAGAGGTCTGAATCTTGGCAACAGCTCCAACAGAATCCTGAGCACATGGTCCGATTGCCCTTTTAAGCTCCGGGGGAGGGGAAGGGAAAGGACAGGTGTGCCACCAACCAGGTGGGAGGGGGAGGATCTCAAGGGACGAGGGACACCTAGACAGGCCAATGATCCCCAGGCTTGAAGGGCATCCTTTGAAAGTGACCAACCATAGGAGGCCATGCTGGAATGTTAAGCCTGATTGACAGAACTCACTCAGCAAGGGGGCGAGGGGGAAGGGAGAGAGGTATTGGCACACCTGGGGAAGGGACCCGGAAGTTTAAAACAGGATATTATAACACACTGCAACAGAAACACAAACCAGTTTTTATTCAATGCTGATCCTTGTAAAGCTGGGCAGGATATCGGAGGTGAAGAAGCCCACTTTTATGTAGAGTTTTCCTTTTTAAGTTGCCAGGGGCAGCAGGGTAAGCTCTGAGTTCTGGCCAACAGAAGTGGCTGAGTTAATTTGAGGAGGCTCTGGAAGGGTATTGCCTTCTGTTGTGTACAGTGTTTTATAGGAGCTACCTTCAGAGAGTTTAATGCTGCATCAAAAATCAGCATTGAAAAAGTATGCCATGCTCTGTCGAGTGATGTTTGTCCTTGAAACAGGACAAAAGGAGCAGTGTATGGCTCAGGACATTGTGTTGTCTGTCAGTCCCCTGGCAGTGTTCTCTGACAGTGGTTGTAGAGGAAGGGGTTTTGTTGGTAAATGCATTAAAGATACAAAATTGTAGGAAATGTAATTAGCATGAGTAGACTAAGATTGCCATGAATACATCTAGTTAAACAGGCCAGAGTGAGCTGTAGGGTTTCAGTCTTGATGTCACTGAACTCAAAAGTCTTTCAGGACTTTCAAAACTAACTGAAATGAAAATCTGATTCACTGGTAGGTGCCAAACCCTAACCTGCCTCAGTAATAAAAATGTTAAATTTTTCCACTTTGCTTTTGTAGCTGTTCGCCTGCCCATCACCCTAGAGTTATGTTATGGATAGTTATAAAATTACAGGAAATAAAAATTCTTACATCTGGGCTTGACTGCATTGAAAGCTGAATTCATTTAAACTTGTCAGATGAACATCAGAAATGTTTGGGTTTATAAATTATGACTTTGCATACACTGCAGTCTTTTGTGTTGTGTATTTACAGGCCTGGTTTAAATCTCCTTTAGTTATTCTGAGTTACAAAATGAAAGCTAAGGAGATTTAATTGTGGTCTTAATAAGTGCAGAGAAGTGGGATTCTGAGCATGTAGGCAAATCCTTCCCGGAAAAACTGCAGGTCACAAGCCATAATTCTGAACTTATAAATGGCTGTGAAAATGCTGAGGTAGGCATGGGAGTGGAGTCATGGAGTATTGAAATGCGCCTCTGGAAGGAGCACGCAGGAAAAATCACCTTCTCTGCTTTGTGACAGGATCTGTTGGGCGGATCCTGGCCCGGGACAGGAGGGCTCGGATGCGATAGGAAGGGCAATAGCATCGTCTCGTGGTTAGGCAGGAGTCCATAGCCCTTCATGGTCTTTTCCTTCAAAAACCTTGGAGATTGTGTCGTTTAAAAAAAAACAAAAAAAAAACAAAAAAACCCCCCAAAAATCAAAAAAAGAAAAAAGAAAAAAAACCCAAAGCAAACAAACAAACAAACAAACAAAAAAAAAACAAAACAAAAAACAAAAAACAAAACCAAAAAAACCCAAACAGCTGTGTTTTTCATGAGCAAATATTATGGGGATAGTATTCAACAGTCATATTGCCGCCGAAAAGTTCAGAAATTCTTCAGAACTCTGAAATCCTGCAGCTCATTCTGACTTGTTTAATGAGCTTGATATACTCACGACAATTTTAGTTTGCTAATGCGAATTATATCTCCAGTAGAAAATGTTTTTAAATTTTTTGTAGTATTTCACAGCAAACTACTTGCTACTTATTTCACATTCCCCAGTTCAAATTTGTTAATATTAGGAAGATAAACCTGATATTTCTCTATCTTTCTAGGTATAGAGTAGAAATGTTAGGAAATGTAGAAAACAGTTAATTTTTGTTTATTTATTTATTTATTTATCTTGCATTCTAAAGGGAAGAAAACTGTCTTGCTGGACATTCAAACCTAGAGGATTACCTTAAATTTAAATGAAATTCATATGGACAATGGGGATTCTGTAGCAGTGATTTCGTGGAGCTGCAGTGTCCAGTAATTGAAGTAATGCTTCCAGCCTGCAGCTTAGTTCAATTTCTGTATGCAGAAATTGAGTGGGGACCAGATTATTTTATTCTACTGAGGACTTCATATTTCACAAGTTTTTAAAGTAATTCAGTTTCTAGATAGTAGCAAATCCTTTTCAGAATACCAGAAATCAAAATTATTTAGTCTGTGGGACTAGCTGTTTCTAAAAAACATCTGATTTGAAGTTTGAGCAATCAAAATCATAACAAAAATGTCCCCTGTTGGGGGACAAAAGTTCACCCAATGCACTCCATTTCATTGCCACGGAGCTGGGAGACAGAAGAGATTGGAAGGGCTGTAGTCTTTTAGGGAAAGATGTCCTGTGGAGATCTGGTATTGATTTTAGTGTTACCACAGAAGATCATGTTCACAGTGATTTTTTAGCCCAACATAGATTTCTTGATGGTGAATCAAAAGCATCTCTGCTGTTGGGTAAGCACTTCTGTTGACATGTGCTGGCGTCGTAGATTTTAAAATTCTAACATCATCTTCTGATGCAGTCTCCATTTCTCTGTTGAACTCTCAACTGCAATACTTTATCATAGAAAAAGTGCCTCTTGGCATATTTATTTATTTATTCCTTTACCTGCTTACCTTTAGGAAACTAATGCTGCTCTGCAAAGCATTGCCAAGAATCTGAAGGACATGGAGGCAGAGCACAATGGCTGCGCCAAGGTGCTGAGGCTCCAGGCCAGCTCTCTGGAAATCAAGAACAAACGGCAGGAGAGGCTCCTCAAAGAACTGGAGGTAAAGCTTTCTGCCTGCTGCTGGGAGCCTCAGCAAGCACTGGCACAGCTGAGCAGTGTCATTTCTGAGGGGTGAAACCTCTGAGTCAGGTTATGAGTGCCCTGTGTTTGGTTAACAAAATGTGGAGTGTCACTTCGCAGGAAATGTGGATTCACAGGTGAATGCTGTGAGCCCGACCTGAGAGTGGTGTTTGAACTGCAGATGGAAAGGGGTTTATGTCACTGGGAAAGCAATCTTAGCAATACAGATGTATAGAAGAAGAATTAGTGCAGGATTTGTGAGTTTTTTAAAATTTTTTATTTAAGCATGTTAAGCAGATAGGTCTTGTGGGAGGAGGCAAAGCTTAAGCCTTTTGGCTGATGCTTTTGTGGAGGGGGTTTGGTGATCTCTGTGCTGTGGCTTTTTCTTTAATAGGCCTTCCACAGATCTCTGTTTCTCAATTATTTCCTTTTGTGAATGTGCGGGCTTATACAGAGTTTAAATTTATTGCCAACAGCTAGTATGTAAATTTTATTTATTTATTTATTTTTAAGTTCACATTTCCCTAACTGAAGTTCTTAGAGTTAGGATTCAGTCTCACATACTTGCTACTTTGCTTTACCTGTCCAAAATCAATGACTTTACTTGTATCTGTGTAACCTTGAGTGTCTTCAATTACTTTTAATATTAATGTCCTTTTCTTCATCTTTGTGGCATCACTTGAAGGCAGGAGTCATTTTGGGGTGTGATGTTCTTTTCAAATCAATCATCAGTCAAAGTGAGAGGATGTTTTTGATAGGAAAGAATGTAATTAAAATTTCATGTGAATTTCTATTACAGCAGCTCTGTAGTTACTGCTTTTGCTAAAAACATTTTTTCAATTGAAATATCATGTCCAGGCCTTTATGTAGAGACACGTATCTGTGACTATAAAAACTGTAGCAAGAGCATAATCCTACATCAATTTCTTTAACTAAATAGAAAGTATTACTTTGATATTCTGGATATGTAATGATTTCGTTTCATTTGTTTATTGGCATGAGTTTTCACAGTTCCAAAGTGCAAGTAGTTCAGATACCACAGGTTGGTTTATGGAGACCTAATAAACTGAACAAATAAAGTTGTCTTTGCATGATGTTATCATCTTTCTGGACTTAAATATTTTTAAAATGTACTTTTAGGCAGCTGCAGTGAAAATAAAGGAACTGGAGGATGATGCTGCAGCAGCAAGACTAGCACATGTAGAATGTAAATACACAACAGATGTCATGCAGGTAAACTTTTGATTAAATATTTGGTGGAAGTTTGCAGTAAAATAGAAGATGGACTTGTAAAGGTGCAATCTTCCAAAAATGTTAAGATTTCCTTGCTCCAGTGAAAACACTGAGTAGATATTTTTGCAATGATTGTCAAGACTGTAAAAGGTAATAGAAAAACATCTCCTTTATTTCCAGGGAACTGTCAAGTTAATAGAATCAATATTAAAATAAAATGTCACATTCTTATGTTTTAGAATTCAAAGTAGCATTGAAACAGTGAGGGGAAAGGAAATGTTTCACAATAGTTAAACTGCTAAAATATTCTGTCCTATATCTCTGGAATGGGCACTTATATAATTTCAGAGATAGAGTGTACTCACCCAACTTCTCTAGGTGTGAGATATTAATGCATCCTGAGGCTGCAGTTCCAAATGTAAATATTCAGAGTTCATTTCTGCTATTACATCTGCTGTTACCAGAAAAGTTTGAATATATGAAAAAATGCTATATGTATACTTGAATATTAAATTTTTGTATCATTAAACTGTGTCACATAGGGTTTGATCCATTAAAGCAATTAGGATTTATTAAAAAAAAAAAGTGAAAAACCTGAAAGATGATTGCTGAGTGATCTTTTGATCTGCTGAGTGATCTGACTAGCAGTGGAATTTAGAAACACTAAATGAGAAAACAAAAGTGAATTTCATTAATTTTTTCTTATTTTCTGAGGAACTCAAAAAAGCATTTCCACTTCTTCAGTCAGTTATTTTTTTATTACTTTTTCTAAGTACAGGCACTTGGATTTCTGAAGTGATGATTAAATAAGTAATGATGATGCAGGTTTTTTTATTCCTTCTCTACTTTTACAACATACAAAGGGAAAGGTAACATTCCTGGAAGTTAGAGATTTCTCTTCTTTGGGTGAAGAACACAGCAGGTTTTCTTTCTTGTTTATGTACATGAACAAGCTCCACATGAGCTTTGCTCTGAGTGCAAGTGTAACTTTTACTGTTTATCCTACACTTTTATGAGCCTACTTAATGAATAGAATTTCCCTGGAAAACTTCAGTAATATAAATAATTGAAATCAGGAAAATCCAAACACCACGCAAGGACAACAAAATATGCTTTTGGTTGGCATATCTATTTCTCTCTGTTTTGAACTCTATGTATTAATACATTTCTATGTGTGTTCAATGCTTTCTGATTCCATACAGAATTAATAGAATATATTCACCTGTAAAAAGCAGAACAGAGCAGTGAACAGCATGAAAGACCGTGGTAATCTTTCCTAACTTCCCTTAACTGCTTTCTTAACATTTGCTAGTTGAGAATTCAAGAACTCGAAGACGTTTTGAATGAAGATCAGCTCGGCAGAAGACAAGCTTTGCCAGAAGGGGTAGCAAGGGAAGATTTCAGAGAGCCAGTAAATGCTCTTGAGACAGGAAAAAAAGCGTAAGTTTCCTTTTAAAGCCATTCCAAAATGGCAGTAGACAGCTTGAGTACAAAATAGAAAATTCCCTGCAATTTTCAGTCAGCAGAAAATTCTAGGGCAATGGGACAAACCAAGCTAAAGGTTCAGAATCTGGCAGTCCATTAATAACAGGCCCATATCAGTAACCAAAGCTATTGTGAATGGTACAGATAATAACTGGCCTGCTACAGATTATTTGCCAAACCAAAAATTTTGAAACTCATATTTATGGTAGGGTCCAGCCTCCAGTAGTGTTTGGGGTGAGTGTAGGAAAAGATATCCAGCAGATATCCAAAAGATGTCCAATTCTTATATTATTATGAAAACATTGTTTTCCACTTCAGTGAGTCAGTTGGATCTCTAAGACTCCTGTCAAGAAGTTGGGTATCATTTATAGTGGGTAATCTTTGTTTTCAACTTTTGAATGACTGTAGAAAGCTTGACATGGTTAAAAAACATTGAAAAGTGTGAGAGCACAGGAAATCTCTTGGGATGTTTCCACAGCACAGTCTGCTGTGCCTGTGGTAGCAGAACTTGGGTAACCTCTCTTTCAGCCTAGAACTATTTGGGTCCGTATACACAGGTGTTTCTTTTGACTTACTCACACAAGGAGTAGTGGAGAAGGAAAAAAATCAGTTTTCCCACAAGAGAGGAAGTTTGTAGCCCGAGCAACTCGTTCAAGATTCATGATTATGGACATGTTTTTAGTAAGATACTTCAAACTTGAGCTGGAAAAACCTTTGTCATCCTTTGCAAACATCATTTTTAAGCAAGCTTTTGGCTTTCCTGATACCATGCCTAAATACTTAGGCAATCTTTTAAAATTCTTCCTTGCATTCCCTCTCTGTGCTTCTGTGTCGTTTATGCTGTTGTTTTGCCTTGTAGTTTCCTCATCAGCTGCCTGTTTAGTCATGCCAGGCTCTTGGTATATCTGTTTTCCTGACTGACACAGTACAAGAACAGATTAAAATTCTGGGTAGCTTGCTTTCAAAGTCAGACCAGAGTAGGGTCAGGCATGTGGAAATCTTAAGAGCAAGAACTGTACTTGAAATCAGGACTGATGATGCAACATGTGACATGGTCTCTCTGAAGACAGCTGTTGTGCTAATTAAAATATGAAGAATTCTGTTTGTTATATGTAACTTTGAGGCCACATCCAAAAAATCTTATGAATTGCATGACAGCAGGCTTGGTAACTGAAAATATAACCTCTTGAAAAATCTTTCTTAGAAGGAATATCAATTTCTTCATTCAATTAAGAAAGGCAAGCAGCTTCAGGATCCATGTGATGTGCTAAAGTGGTATCTGCCATATCCATTGATTATCATTTAAAAGAACATAGAGCATCCGACAAAAGTAATTTTGGTTAAAGTATCTTTTTTGTGGAAACTTTCCAGTTCACCAAGACAGCATATAACCTACGGTATGGAATGGAAAGACAAGGTTGAGGCCATGAGGAGAGCTCAAGATCCCAATGCCACAATAGCGGTTCCTCCAGACAGCTTCAGCCTGCATGAAGGCTCAATAGTAAGGAAAAAAATCCTCAATAGTAAATTGCAAATACAAATAAAAAGTGCTCAATAGTAAGGAAAAATATGTGACACACATTGTTTAGGTGTTTTAAAACATACTGTCAAAATATTTACTGTGGTGAGGATTTGCTGCATTTGCTGTGCTGAGCTGCGGAAGAACTCTGCCATTCTCTCACCCTTTTTGTTATTATGTTACCTTTAAAAAAATTTACTACATGAATAAATGTAACCAATGACTTGGAGAAGCTCATTTGAAAATATTTTTAAAGTATGGGTAGGATGTACTGGCATTCCTAATTAAGGCATTTTGTAGATATTGATTATCATATCATGTGAAGAATGTTCTTTCTACCTAACTTTTTTGTCAAGTTTCATTAGCTACCATTGTAGAAATGCTTCTTTCTATTTCATACACCTTTTTAGTTTTAGTGCAAGTATTTAACTGTAAAAATTGCTTGAAAATTGTTTCAAGCTTTCAGGTGGAAAAGCAGAGGGGATTTTTTTCTTGTTGTTTTGTTTTTTACTTGTTTTGCTGTGGCTTTGGCACATTGGATGTATTTCGCTGGATTATTTTCTGAAAACTTTCTCCTCTTATGTGACCACTTTGGGCTTTTCTACTGTCTTTACCCAGCTACACCTTGAATAACAATTTTGTCATCGTTTTGCATAGCAGCAGGGACAAAGGAAAGTTGTCAGCATGTTTAGAAAATCTCTCCTTTGATAGTGTGGTAACATCTGCTCTCTTTCTACTCTTAGCAATATAAATATTTTTTTGCTGGTGGCTTGGAAACTTCTCTTTCTCTCTCAGAGCTCTGAGCATGGAAGGTACATGAGGTCTGTTCCCTGTGGACAGGAGCAGAGACCTGCATCAGAGAGTCTTCAGATTTGTGGGTGTCTTTTGTTCAGTTGATGGAGTGATTCCACATTTTGTCTCAGTGCTGTCCACTGCCCAGGCAGATCTGTGATTCATAAGCTGGAGACAAATAAAATCAGGATCTTCTTTTTTCTTTCTGGGAGAATAACAGCTTCTTCCCTGCAAGCATTCATGTATTAAAAGACATTTGCTGGCCTAGTTAGGCTGAGAAAGTAATTTCATCAGGCACAAAAGGAATACATGCAGAGAAAAGCAACTGTCTGTCCTAACTACAGGCATTAATGATTGCTATTTATAACTACAAAAGACAATTGCAAGCTGAAAATATTCTACTAAAATTCTTGCTTAACCTAAAGTGCTTGCTAGCTGTTGCTGTGGCAGAAGTTTTCCTTTTTATTTGTATTCCCTAGTAAAATATATGACATGGCAATAATTATGGACAAGATTCCATTCATGATCAAGATTTCTTTTAATGGAAACAGTATTTAATGGTAGACTCAAAATTAATGTTATATTATCGCAAGGTTAAAAAATAAAGGGTTGTCTCACTGTCATATTCATAGAACTGGTTGTTTTAATTGTTTTACTCAAAGGATTTCAAACCACAAGACTGTCCTGAGCAGGTGATAAAAATGTTCATTTTTGGAAGAGTTGTATTAGTAGTTGTCTTATGAGATCAGGTATTTATTGCCTTGGATGGCTTTGCATTTTCCCAAAGCTGTTTGTATTTGTTTGGGAAGCAGAAGTGCCTGTAGGTGGTCCTGTTTACTCCATTGAGACAGCTCTGATTTTGCTTCCCAAAGTTAAAAACTAAGTATAGATAACATTTAATATATTGCTGTTAGTCTCTGCTATACCTATGCTTCAATTGTGTGAAAATGCCAGTGTGGTCTCTTCCATTCAGTTTCCCCTCCTGCTTTCTTGATCTGTACAGTATTTTTCCATGTTTTATACCATTTTTATGCTTCCTGAATATGTTCTTTCCACTCTAGTCTGATAATCTTATAGTGATCTCTGACTGTACTGATACAGCATTTGAGAAACAGCTTTCTATTATCTTAAGGCACTTGTATGAACTGCAAGTATGAACAATTGAATTTCTACTGCATGCTGTTGTTGCTAAAATTTATTTTTAATCAATTTAATATACTACTGATTAAAATCACTGTAAAGAAATGAGGCATGGCTTGTGGAGTTTGACTGATGGAGCTGTAGGCCCATTTTGGCCAGCTGATTAATCATATATAATCCACACAAAGCAAATTTTTAAAGGAATTTAGAGTGTATTGTGCTGCCAAGCCAAATGGACAGTTTTCTGTGTGCTGTGCAAGTGTTGGGGGACAATTTGGAGGCACCTCAAGGTATTAACATGGGTGAATGAATTGCATCCACTAAGAGCATGGAAATTTTTAGCTGCCAGGTCATGGTTGTGGCTCCCACAGGACTGGGATTTACTCACACACTTTATTTACATACTGTGTCTAACTAGATAAATTTTGTGAAATCTGTTTTCTTACTCTGCTGTAATATTATGGCTGCAATTATTAGAAATGAACTGAGGAATTTTGTAAAGCTGTGAGAATGAACCTTAAGGGCTCGTTTTCAGCTGTGATCAGCGCTGCTACTGCACATATGATGCATCTCTTTTGATTTTAACATTGCCCAGCTACAGCAATTAATTTTTTTCTTTGTGTTCCAGAGGGAGATGTCCATCCTCCTGAACTTATACCAGACCCTGGCAAACGCCCAGGTGCTTTCCAGACAGACAAACGTCCCCCTGGAAGAATTACCTTGGACAGAGCTTTGTGCGCTCTTGCGTGAGAATGTTGAAGCCCTGGTCTCGAACTTCAACAAGGCTAAGCAGAGGGTGAGCGTGCCCAGGCATCAGCTGCCTCTGCTGAGCTCAGTGACTTTTATTCACACTGCAGTCTCGTTAAAAAGGACTGATATTCATGCCCCCAAAAAAGGATTTGGACACTAACAAATGAGCACCATTAATGATGGCTTGTCCACTGCTCAGTTTGTTGCCAGGGGCATTTAGATGTGAGTGGAGTGTGCATCAAGTCTCCCAGCTCCACCTTCTGTGCAGGATATTGTGAAAGGACAATCTGATAGTAGCCACAGGGACCTAATTAAAAGACAATAAATTCATCTTACTGAGGAAGAAATTCACTGAACATAGTCATTTACAGTCATAAATCAAATCTTTATTTTACTGTAATCCAGAGGCAAAATACACTTTCTCAAGGAATATCACCTTGTAATTATGTGTTTATGATTCAGATGTACTATTTGAAAGAATGCCAGTGTGGGGTTTTTTTGTTTAATTGTAACTTTGGACTATGACATTTTTATTCAGAAACAAACAGAAATACCTATTCTAAAACATGTCAGGATCTGTATGAAGGAGGAGCTGTACTTTTCTGAAAGGTTTTGAAGCAAATGAGCTTACATGGCTTTTCTCTCCAGAAAACCTTGTGGTTTTAGGAAGGAAAAAGCCCCTTCTAAAATAACTCAGCTGGCTCCAGAGGCTAAGCTATGCCTAAAGAGCTCTTCAGGGTATCACTTTGTGTTCTGGTTTATTTCTCTTTTGAAGTAGATGAGGAAAGGGAAGGGAAGGTGAACACTGTTGGCAGTGTTTGTAGGGCTTGTGTCTTATTGTTGCTTGCTATTTAATTAAGGATTGTTATTAAGACTGATTGTGAGGTCTCTAGGGCTCTTCTCATGTACTTAGCAGCTTTTCTGGGATTTTAGACTGTGCTGAAAAAACTTTATTTCCACACAATTCAGTGTGATCTATCTGGAAGTATCTTGATATTTTCTAGGAACAGAAAGTTGAGGTGTGTGCATTTGGGGATCATTGTTGGCTTGGTTCATTCCTCCATTTAGCTTGCATGAGAAGTGCAGTGTTAAAGCACAAGAGTGAATCCCTTCATGTTTGTTGAAAATACATCATAAACTTATGAGCTATTTGTAAGGAAAAAATTCTCTGTGCTAGAATTCCCTGAAATTGTTTTAAAACTTAATCATAACCTGGAATGTCTTGACTTTTCAACAAAAGAAAAAAATCAAAAACCACAACCAAACAAACAAAAAATTAAAGGCTGTGTTTTAATTATTGTTTGCAGTCATCACAAACTTCTAAAGGATATACTTGGATTACTAATTTAGTAAAATTGAATACAATCATTTAAAAAAAAAAGTTATGAAGTGTCTGGCTCAGGTTTCCTGCAAAGAGGGTGACAAGGTGGTAGAAGGCAAAACCGAAACCAAAAAATATATTTCAGTTTTGTTTTGAGAACCAAGTAATTTATCTGCCATGAAAGGGTTTTACTTAGTTTTAATAAAATATTGAAAAAACTGCAGTTTAGATTTTATGCTGGAATAGTCTGTGCTTAACTTAAAGTGAAAAGGTAAATAATAATTTCTTCTTAAATGCTTATCACACAGATATCTCACCTAGAATATATGTGCAAGCACAAGACTGAAACTATGAACAACCTTCAGCAGAACCAGGAGGATGCTTTGGAGAAAATGTCTGAACAGTTAAAAGCACAGGAACACTGGTCGCAGAAAGAAAAGCAATATCTTGAACAGCAGTACTCAAACGCCCTTGCAGAAATTCATGCAAGATCACAGGTATGGTGCTGTGAACTTCTAATTTTTTTTTCTTTAAAAATTGAATTGATTATTTCAATAGTTTAAGCCTCTTAGCAGTTAAAGGTCATTTGGGAATTTTAGTATACGTTTAAAGTTTAAAAAAATCCAAAACCAAACAACAAACCAACCCATCCCTGTGCTAATATTAACATCACTTAAAAAAAGAAATAAATTACTTTGATGAAGCATTTGTTGAAGAGAATTTAGTCTTCAGGCCCAGCTGAGAAGCCTGATTTCATCTGCAGATAGCAGTATTCTTTTTCTGAGAATGTTAAAGCTGTAAGATCAACTTTGCTTGTTTTAAGAATTACTGATGGCAGCAGCTACTTTTTCAGCATCATCATTTGCAGAGATTGTATAGAATAACAATAATGTGGTATCACCTGGGGATAAATTTAGTTACGTATGTACTGATCCTAAGAGCAGTGGTAGATTTCAATGGTGTTAAGCAATTCTGTTTTTCTGATACTACAGTGAGGAGTGGCCTAAAAGTGTGAAACTGTCACTCCTTGTTAGATGAGTTATTTGCGATCCAAAATGTTCCCTGTTATTCCACAACCACCATTTACTGTCTTTATCATCACACTCCTTCATGCCTGTTTCAATTAAAAGCATAGTGAATAAAGGAAATAGATGTCCCTTGTTATTTGTGAGTTACTGCAACTAACTTTACAGAATAATGCTGTATTTGATGCAGATTTCAGGACTGGAAGTCTCTGCATGCTGAAAAATTCAATCTGTCAACTTTCATGTTCCAGACTTCCTGATGTTTTTCCTCTCACTTACACTGGCTTTCTGCTCGGTACAGCAGTGTTTTCTCTGAAATTGGAGGATGTTATTAGTATTGTTAAGTCAATTAATAAAACTGAATTGTGGGCAGACAGGTGGTGTTGGACCTTCTGTGAGCTGTCACGGTGTTGGTGGATTGTTTTCAGAAATCAAGAGTCCATTTGCAATTGATTATCATGTAAATTTCCCTCCTACCACTGTTTTTGTTTCATTCATCTTATTCTGTAATTGCTTACTAGAAGAGACACTTTCATCACAATTATTACTAACGACTTTTGCTCCTTTAATGCATCATTTGAATGGCAAAGCTAAATTTTCTTTTCATTCTTGTCTAGGTAAAAACCATGTAGTTAATGTTTCGTCCATTATAGTTTGGTTTGTTTCTGTCACAGGAATGTGAAGAAACGGTGCAGAAAAACAGGCAAAAACTCTATGGCCTTGAACAACTCTCTGACAAACTGGCCCAAGAAAACAATACCTTGAAAAATTCATTATTAGATGCTTTCAAGGCACGCTCATTCCTGCTGGCAGCCTCTGCACTGCTATCAGGGGCCCTGTGCTCTCTCTACGGCCGACTGTGCGCCATGTCTTGCCAAAGAGACATTCTCCAGGAACAGGTGAACCAGCAACAACTATTGAACCACAAGATCGTCAGCCTCCTTTATGCTCTCCCTGCTGTCATGGAAAGAAACCAGGACGAAGTCAGGACAAGGCAAAGAAGAGCCAAGAAGCTGGCTTATGTTTTCCGAAGAGCTGTGATTGTAGCTCTGGCTGCCAACAGGCTGAGGGGTCTGGCCCGATATTCTTGTACCTTTTTTGTCTGGTCAGACGGATGCAGAGGAAGCCCTGGAATTCAAGTTTGTCTGGGAGAATCCAGAGGCAGGCATCCTGTGACACGTAAGTGAAATGTTTTTAAAGAGTTACATCAAATTGCACGTTTAGGGAATAACAAAGAGGAATATTATTTTTATTGCTGGGGCATAAAAACATATTTAATGACATTTTGACAAATGCTATTTATGGATTTATGTTTTTTATATTGCTTGACAAATGCATTTCACTCTAAGAGGAAATGCCTAGTCTTAGGTTAAGAATTGCAGGTAAAATTTCAGTTATGCACATGAACTAAACGCTATCTGATATTTTTGATATTTGTGTTATGGATTTTGGAACTAGGTGCTACAGCATCTTCCCTGTGGTAAATATCTTGCAATGTTCCTAAATGATTTTTCTTTTTTTTTGGAAAAGGTATTTCCTCTTTTTTTAAAAATAATTTTTAATATTAATTTCCTAAAAACCCACAAAAATTGCTTTCTGATACAGGTAAAATATTAGCATAGGATTTCAAAATTTTCTTTAGAGGTATGTCTATTTGCCCCTTTCTGTTGCCAGACCAGTTTATATTTCTCTCTACAAGGATAAAGGGTATTAAAAATGTTTTCCAAATTAGAAGATTCATCTACTTTTTTTTTAATGTCATTCGGGAAGCATGCTTCAAACAGTCTAAATTGTCCTGACTAATTTCTTGTTTATATGCTTATTTTTGGTCAATTTCTTAAAGAGGGGGAGGCAACAGTGTGCCATATTTTTGTGATTTATTTATCCTGCTAGCTGCACTTCTGTTTTACAGGTTTTGGAGAGGAAGGAGTTGACTGTATTGAAGCAATTAACTGGTTGTGTAGCTCTAACCTCTATACTGCAATGATCAATTCTATCTCAGATCTGGAGGTTGTTCTCAACAACCAAGGTAATTTTAACTGCATATTGTTGTAGCAGAAATATATTTAAAAAATAAATAAGTCAGGGTGGTCATATAATTTCCATTTTTATGATTTTATCTAAAGTATTCTGTTTAGATAGCTCTGAAGAGATATTTCTGAATATTTATGATAGACACCTTTGACTAGAGGTTATGTCCTGAGCTAGTCAATACAAATTTTAGTGGGGCTGTTTCCCTGAAAGAGTAATTTTACTGCAGGCTAAAATAATAACCCTTTTCTACATTCTCTGAATGATCACATTTCTGTACTGTTGGAACAGATTAATTTTCTTAAACAGCTGATAGGATATTTTATCCTTTCGGTATATAGAGGCCATGGAAGCAGAGGGCTGTTTCTGGAGTTTATTTACACTGAGAACTGATACAGGTTCCCTTGATTCATCTGCATTTCCGCCATCCCTCGTTCTTAGTTAACCTGTAGTTTTAGAGTCCCCACATTTTTGTCACAGAAAAAAGGATAGTAGAAGAGGGATAATTTATGTGAATAAAGGGAAATAGCAGGAGAAAGATAAGGTGATGCATTTTCCAGGAGCCTAAACACTACATCGGTATAAAAGTTGACATTGAATCAAGTGTGTTTAGATTCAGTTTCAGGCACTTTCTTCTTTCATCATGCTCTTTTCAATAAATTGAATTCATATCCTTTAAAAGCAAAGTTTGAACAGTGTTTCAGATTCAGCATTCTATGTTTCAGAATATTTACAGGTTCCATCCTGTATAAGTGAAAACGAACATGATATTATAAGAAATGGGAACTAATAACCTGCTTGATGTTTCCTTTTTGTTGTTTTTTTCTTAAAGATTCAGAGCTGTGGCTTTCTAGTAACTCGCTGATCGGCACAGCCAGGAACTGCTTTGCAAAACTGATGGACAACCTGAGCGTTCTGATGGAGACAGTTCAAGGGAAGACTCGTGGGTGCAGAGCCTTCCTGGAGAGGGACTCCCTGATAGACAGGCTGGCTCGTGGGCTCCGCAGACTAAATGCCCAGGCCCTGGAAGCTGGATTGCATGACAGACTGCCCAGCACAGTAAGCAGACTTGCAGTCCTCCTTCATGGAAACAGAAGGTTTACAGCAACATTGAAGCTCCCTTGATAGCAGCATTTCTTTTGTTTCAGACTGGTGATGAGTCCATGACAGTGAAGTGCTACTATATGGACACTCAGAAGTTGATTTGTCACACATTAGGGTGTGAATAGGTCTTTTCTTTTATTGAGAAAGAATTTTTGGAGGAGGTTTAGTGTATCCAAGTAAAAGATTTTTTTTAAGTTCTATCAGATCTGCATTAGCTTGTAAGCACAAATTTGCTTTTGGCTTGATGTAAATGTTAAGGTTGCTTTTTATTCTTGTTTTCTACTTTCTCATGTTTACCATCCTTTCTTTCAGTAAAGATAACCTTCTTCCCTTTAACCAAAATAAAAGGATAAACTCTTTCCCTACTAATCTTTTCTAGTAAACCTTAGGTGAAAATAGTACTTCCTTGTAAACAGAATTTGCAGTTACCCTTGGTAGGTGACAGGTTCAAACTTTTGTCCTTGTGTATGTCTTTTAGAGATGGAGGAAAAAATTATGTTTTGTCTTCTTTTTCTTGAGTCTTAAATATTATTTATTTTATTGCTAAAACAGCAGATTTTATAGCCCATCAACTTGTTTTTGTTTGCTGACAGAGAAACATAGCAACTTTGCAGCAAGAAATATTTGCATTTTCACGAAGGCTTCATGCAGCAGAAGTAGAGTCCCGCTCACTGTACCTGCAGCTTCAAGAATGCAGATGGGCTTTCAACAAGATGCAAAAGGATGCTGAAAAAACCCACAGACTGCAGACCCAATTAAGTGAAGTTCAGCAAGTAAGTGCATTTGACTTGGAGGCTCTCTTGCTTAAAAGAGACTCTCCTTTCTACACATGTTTTGATTTGTGTTCTTTTGGAAAACAAGCATCAAATTGATTTACTTTCAACAGAATTTTCCAGAAACCTTGCCTTGTAAATGTCACTAAACCAGAAGACAGATTTATTTAGAAATATCTCTTTTCCACTGCAGTTACCTTTTGATTTGTAGAAGGAGGTATCCTGTATAAATTAGAGTTTGGTCTTCAGCAATCCAGGTTCTCCCATTTGCTGGAAATGTTGATCTGATTTATATATCCTCAAAGAAGATTTCACTTAATAGAATAAAGTCAGTGGGAATGAGGGTATTCAATAAAAATTTTAATGAAATATAAACATAGCAGTTTAAACTCTGTAGGGATGTTGATGAATGTTATAATAAACACAATGCAAAGTTTAACAGGTCTGTTTCCCTGAAGAAGTAACTTTATGGCAGGGGGAAAAAAGCTTTTGTCTATATTCTCAGTAGCACAAAATTCCCCTGAGCCTTTTGCTGTTGGTGATTGACTTACTGAGACACTGTGGGTTCCCCAACCTGAAGCCTAGTTGGTAGAACCTGTCAGGGGGTTCTACCAAGCAAAGAATATCTGCTAGATGATGTCTCGCCCATTGTCCTTCCTGTTCTTAGCTAGTAAAATGGAATTTTTTTTAAGCTCAAAAATATCTAATCATCTTCAGTTTTGCTCTTAACAGGTTTTATGCCCTTAGTGGTTTTGGACTGTTAGATGAAAATTATCACATATTAGATAGTAGTTGAAATGCAGATGACAGCTTTCTTTGAAGAATTACTTCTTTCTGGAACAGTTTTTGGACAAGAAGAACAGCCCACAAAGGTGTTTACAAGGGTTAATAAGCTCTCCACTAAAATTCTGAACATTGATCTGCATATTTTTCCTTCTAAATCCTGAAGTTTTGCATCCCATGGTGTTAATTAGAATAGAGTAATGAAATCCAAGACTTTACATGAATGTTCTTTATAAAAAACACAGCAATTAACTGGTCTGCCATCTTATTGTTCAGCGATGTCTTCATGTTAAAAAAACCTCAATACTACTCATAAGCATGCATTTATTTTAGAATTTGATATGTTTGCAAGTGGAACTCACTCAATGGTAGGGAAGCCATTGGGTATAGTTACAGAATCAGGCACAACTTGTTTCTCTTTGCAGCACATCAACAAAGACAATATACAGGAGGAGTTACAAAACGCTTTACAGCGTGAGCATGAGGCACAATTGCTTTTACAAGAGCACCACCAACGGATTCAGGAGCTGAGTAATAGACTGGAATCACAAGCATTTTCTGAGCTAAGTAAAAGCCAAGTATCTCCGACGGTAAGATTATTCTTCTTATAATATATATATATAAAATAAATTCTTCTTATACCAGAGTATTACTTTTGATTAAATAAGCCAAATAGTGCAGTCCTTGTGTAAATAAAATTACCGGAGTAAATACACCCGCACTACTCAGTCTGCTGGAACTTTAGGCTACTGAGAAAACACTTCAAAGACTCCTTTTAAATTTTTTTTTAGCTAATGGGGTTTTTTAACAGTTTAAGAAAAAGTCTTCAATGGGGGGTTTTTTTCGGGTTTTTTTTTTTTTTGCCTACAATCATTTTGTTTTCTAAAGAACATTTATATGTAGCAAACACTAAGGGGGTTCTGGGTCAGTAATGCTTTTGCTAGGAAATTCATAAAACCTTCGGAGGCAGTGGTCCAAATCTTCTTTACAATCAATTTATCCTTCACATTGGTCAGTAGTCAGTGGCGTAAAGTGAAGTTTATTTGGGCTACAGAGTAACTCTGCTCTCTGTCTGCTGGCAGGGCCTCCCTGATGCAGCAGAGGAGCTGAGGAAAAGAGACCAAGCTCTAGATCAACAGGAGAAACTCCTGAAAGAAATGGAGCAGGACCAGAAGCGGCTGTGGGATACTCTCGAGGAGGCCGAACGTGCCCTTGATCAGGGAATAAAGTGAGCCCTGGGGCCTGGGGGATGTCACCTGAAAATGAACAGAGATTTAAATTTCTACTTCCAAGGGCGGGGCTTTAGCCCTGGACAATGTAAGATTAGAAGAGAAAAGTACATCTGTCTCTTTTATTTTTAAATTCAGGGATAGTATTCTAAAAACAAAAGTGTTAGTTCAAAATACTAGGGCATCCATTTGATGCAGTTATCCCATAATAGTTCTTCAAATTCTGGGTGCTGAAATAACTGGCAAAAAAAAAAACCTGTGCTATCTTACTGATCTGACATATCTTTGGCAGATCCTTAACATTCTGTTTATTTAAGAAATTGTTGTTTGTTCTCTGAGTTTCCATGCCAACTTTTTCTAGACAGATACAATTTATTTATAGTAAATATAGAAGCATCAGCTAGGGGACGGGTCTTCACTGTCAGAGAGACTGAAACCCATTTTGGATCTATGGCTTTCCTGTGGTACAAGATAGATCCTCCTGCTGATTTCAGGGAGTTTTGGATTTAGACCTAATCCCCACACCACTTACACCATAACCTGGAGAGGAAGGAAAGGCTCAGGCAGTGGTCTTGAAAAGATTGGTAGTCAAAAGGAGCCCCCTTGACTTAAAGCTTATTACTAACTTATTCTTATGCCATTTGAAAAAAATAAGTCTTTGCAGACTTTGTTGTCTAATACTTTTCATAGTATGAAGTATGTGTTACGAATATTGTTGTTCCATGGCTAGGATCTAAAAAAATTTTAGTTCATTAAAATTTCTCATCATACCTGGGATCATTTGACCTCTGAAGAACAATATCTGAGAAGATTTAAGGGTTTTATTCACCAGGGAAATAATGTAATTTGTATGGTCATCAGTTAAATGTTTAACAAGCTAAGTAAAATGACAAATGTTATTTGGTATGATTTGATCAAAGCAGGTGTCACCTGCAGAAAGATTTGTTCCAGAAAGCTTGCCCTTTTCATCCTTCCCCAATCTATTTTGGGCATTTCAGTAAAGATCATTCCTTGTGGCCATATATATATATATATCCAGAAAAGGTTATTCTAATCTGAAGTAACTTTAAAACTGGCTTTTTTTTTTTTTTTCCTTGTATATAGCAGCTGAATATCAACAAAGAAAGCTACTCTTCCCTCCATTATTACAGCAACTCTTCACAACTAATAGGTTTTATTTCTCCCTTCGGAATATAAGCAAAAAGATGAAATAAACAGAATCTGTCTGTGGTTTCCAATACAAGAATATAATTCCATCCTGCTAGAGACTTTTTATGACCTCTATATCCAAGCCATGATGGTTGTTCATTGATAGGCCTATGATTATCTAAATTTTAATTGCTTGTCCTCAACAGAAGCATCTTTCATATGGAAATGCACCAAATAGTGGTACATGAACTATTTTTAGGGTTTGCATTGGAAATATGAAAAAGAGAGAAAATCCTAATACTTTGGGTTATCAACAATTATTTTACAAGACATGACAGCCATAAAGTAGCAGAAGATTAATTTCTACATTGGCAGAGCTTCAGTTCCATAAAGTTACTCCGTTGTTCTTGTTTTGTTTTGTTTTATTTTCTTTTATAATAGAGACAAAGAGTTAATCATTGGTCAAATGAAAGCTGTGGAAGCTGCCCTGAATAAGGTAAGAATTTGAACTGTTCCCTCTGATTTGTGTTTTTAAACATGGCTAAAGCCTTAGAACTGCTAATTCTCAGGGGAGGAGAGAAGCTGTTGCAAAACAACTTCCTTTTCCTTAGTGTTGAAGTTTCCCCTCTCAACTTGTTCCATCTTAAAAAACCACAGTGAAATCAAATGCAAGTTTGTAGTACATACACAACTTTTTCTGAATGTAGAAGTTATGACAAAATTCACTTGCCTTCCCTCACTGAACACTTTTTCTGGTTGACAAGTGAAAACTAATGAACACACAAAAAATTGGCAACTGAAGTTACCCCTCTACTGAATAATAAAAAGTCACATGCTTGGTGGCCATATAACATTTGGCTTTGTGTCTGCTACTTTAACCTATGAAACATGATAAATAGGAAAAGGCAGGAAGTAGCAATCTGTGGTCAGAAACTTCCACAGTATTTTTTAAATCATATTTTAAACTTAATAGTAATCTCAAGTTTTTCCTCTGACTTGTACAATTGTGCCCTGATATAGGACTATTTGATGGTCCAACAAAGCTGTATGTATTAATTATTTAGGAGAAAGGACTATTTTCAACTATAGCTCTCATGGTAGATGGTTTCACAACTGTTTTTAATCTAGAGCAGCACAGAGCAGCAGTGATTTCATTACCTGGGAGTGTCAATTTCCCTTAGTATATCTTTAATTCCCAGCAATGTGGGAATCTCTATTTTAGTTTTGGAGATCACAAAAAACTGTTGCTATTTATTTAATTTATTTCTTTTCAGATCTCTTTTTCTAGTCTATTTCCTTTAATGTTCATGGAAAGTGACAGAATCTGAACTGCATGTTTCTCCTACAGCAAACTCTGCTGATAGAAAATTTCCGTTGTGCCACCACCATCTCCATACCGGCTTCTTTCAAACTTTGGAAGCGAATGTCATGCAGCAAGTGCTGTGTTTTTACAGTAATACATATTTGCCATATCCTTGGCCTTTCTCTTCTCAGACCAGGGCAAGGTGCTTTTTTTTTGGTAGCATTCTCTCCCAGCACTTTGAATTAGAGATTTATTTGCAACAAAAATTCAATCAGTCATACTTTATTCATGGATTTTAGGTCCAGTGATCAAAGCAAGTCCGCTCAATGGGCTCAAGGAGACACCATTCATCCCAGGTGGTGTGTCTGAAGGAGAATTACCACTGATGCTGGGGTTTTTTCCCTTTAGGCCAAAGAGCAGGCTGCGGCATCAAGTGCTGAAGCAGCCGCACCACTCCCCAGCCTGCAGCTGCAGACCCTTCCAGAGGAAGCAACGGCGGGCAGGCCAGAGGCTGCCTCATTACAGGTTAGAGTCTAAAACCAATCCCATTTAATATTTTTTTTAAATTTCCTTTCATTTTTTGCATCTGACATACAACTGCTCTGAGCATGTGGAGAGCAAAAAGCTTCAAAACTCTTGCAGTCAACAGTTGAAAGACTATTTCCATGTATACTCTTGCACGTGGTATTTCAGAGATGATGGTAACTTCTAATTTTGCAGTTACAGCGTTAAATAACTGACAGCAATACAAACATGGACAGAAGCATACATACCTGAAAATTAATATCCCTCTATCCCTCTCCCTTTTCTCCCATTAATATACAAAAGACTAATTAAAAAAAAATAACCAAAAAAACCCAAACAAAACCAAAGCCAAGATCCCCAGAAACAAGCAAAACCAACCAAACAAAAAAGACAAAATTTTCATATTCCTTCTTGGTCAGTATCAGATTTGTTTTCAACCCACAGTTTTAGAATCAATTGTGGGGTTTTGAGTATTCCTTATTTAAAAGAAACTGCTCTTTAGAATGTTTAAATATAGAAGCTATGTTGCTCATGTAGGTTTAAAAACTTGCACATTTCAAAATACTAATTTTGTTAGGATAAAACAATGAGTGGGAAAAAGGAGAAGTTAACAGAAGATGTGCCATATTTTCAGCTCTGAACATAGATTCAGTGCAATGCCTCCTCATTGTTTTTAAGTTTGATGTCTTCTACAGAAACTATATTAGTCTTTCTAGCTGTGCAGAATGCATTAGTGCCAAGACAGATTTTTTTTTTCCCAATGAGAGAACAAAAGGCAAAGTGAGTACATATTTCTTTCATTGTGCTGCTCTGTCTGAATTAGAGAGAGGGCAGGTAATCAAGTAAAGTGCAAGGAACTTAGGCAGAGTAAATATTGCATACAGTGTGTAAGCTTCTGCAGTAATTCCTTCAAATTTATTGTAGATTTTCAGTTCTGGTGCAGTATATAATTGCAAGATCAGGGTCACAAAATCAAACATTCAAGAAAGGCAGATTCTAAGCTGGAAATTTTTCACTGTTGCCCTCTTGCATGCATACATACACTTCAATATGATAAAGATATAAATTATGTGTGCATTATCGTGTTTCCACACTAAAATATGGAAATACGGAATATGTAAAGCCTTGAGATTCCCATGAAGCTTAATTAGCACAGATGAACTTTTCTGTCAAAAGGTAGAATTACAAATTTTTCCCCAGTACAGTGATGATCCATTTTAGAGCTTCACAAAAGTTCCCATGGGTGGCATCTTTCCACAGGAGGCATTGTGGCAATCGCCAGCTTTTCAATCCTGCTTTTCTAATTTGGTAGTCAATGCTGCTTTTTTTTTTTTTTTTTTTTTAAGTCCCATCTCAACTCCCATTCTTTTTAGACCTTACAATGATTGCAGAAGCATCTGCAACCTGTTCCCTCTTTCTCTCCAGAAGAGAATAAAATCACAAACAGTTGCATTTCGTATTTGCACAAGGTGCTTGTGGTACAAATAATATAGTACGGTGTGTGCTGGGGAGCTCGCTGGTGGGGCAGAACTGTAAAGTTCTTGTTCACCTGGCAGCCTCAGGTGCACTTGGTAACTCTGGCCATATACAAACAGCACCAATGGCTCACAGTGTGTGTCACTGTGACCTTCCTTTTCTTCATCCCTTTTCCTTTTTGTCCTTTCATCATCTCTCTTTCCCCCTTTTCCCCCTCTCTCTCCTCAGCCCTCATCTCTAGTTCCTGTTTGATTTCTTTCCAATCTCATTATTGAGGTTTCATTACAAAATTTGCCTTTTATGGACAGAGGTCACCTAATGGATTTTAGTTTTACTCTATGCCAAATTATTAAGGGCAGTCCTGCAATCTTGAGTGAGGTAAGCAGCTAGGAATGACTTTAGGGACTATTGTCATTAAAAGCACTGGAGTTTGTTTGCAGGCACATCCTCTAGAACTGCCTTAGTTAGTCTGTGATGAGAACATTTCCATTAAATGCCTTATAATCTGCAATAATCCTCTTTTGGGACTAGGACCACAGCACCAAGACAATTTGGAGATTCTTTCTGATGAAAAGAGATGTGATATGGGTTAATTTGCCACTGCTGTTTCCTAGACACCATGATGAAATAACATGATTGATTTTAGCTGCGTTAATATCTATTCTGAAAATCGTCAAAGTGATGAAAGGAAAGGAAAACTGCAAAAATCTTTTCAAATCCCTGTTTGTGATACTAAGCTGATTTTTGTCTGTATCACAGGTCTACATTCAAAAGACTAATGTAATACTGTCAAAAGGGGAAAATCATAGCAAATAAAATGTGATTAACCATTGTAAAGAAGACCAATAATTTCAACAGTTAGTTGAGACTACCCCAGGGGTAGATATAAAGTTACCAGTACTGCCAAATCGTCTGTGCTCTCTTGTCCTGCTAACTTTATGATCAATCCAATCAATGTAACAAAATTGGGACATTCTTCCACTGCATACATGGAAACAGCTATATTTTTCCAGTTATAGTGCAATCATATCATTTGTTTTCAGAAGTCTGTAGGTTTGTGATGTTTCTTTTGTTACTGCCAAGTTTATTCTTTTGCTGTGGAGTGGAAGGATTAGTAAATTGATTCATCTTGGAAGTGTGAACATTAGCCTTCAACTGTGTGGTAATTGTGAACAGAAATTGAACCTGCACTATGTGTTGTATTGAAATAAAATGAAAAAGTTGTTGCAAGAGCTCAATGCTGTATTGTATGCTTGAAAACATCTCATCAAAGCATCTCCTAACTAGGGTGTAGAGCAATTCCCTTTTCCTCAATGATATTAATATTCAACATTTTAGAAAAAAATAGAAAATCCACTGTTAGGTGTTTTTGATGTTTAAGTCCTGGGACTGACATTCTCCCTGGCTTACAAACTCTATTTTATTTCTCTGCTAGAAAAAAACCCATCTTTTGTAAAAAAATTGGATATGTGCTATTTGCCATTTAAGTGTCATTTGCCTGGCACTAATGATTCCTTCTACTTTTATTTAAGAATGTGGTTAGAAGTTTTGAGGATCTCTACTCACTGGCAGCTTCCAAAATTGATGTATTAAGAGCAGGAAGAGACTCTTCAGGCTCTACCTATGGATCCTTAACAGCTGTTGGGAGTCGTTCTGCTGAGGGTAAGTCTGCTCTTCAAGCAATTGTAGTCACTGGGATGAGGGTTCCTAGGCAGCATCTCTCTTCATGCTGCACAGCTTCTGTAGGCCAATACAGCAAAACTTAATTGTAAACATAATGGAGAGCAATAAAATTACTGCAAAGAGAAACATCCTGAGATATTTTCCAGAAGAGAAAGGGGATGGTGAAAGCTAGCACAGTCATTGAAATTACTACTGTATGTTTTTTTTCTGCTGGTCACTATTTGATAGTGGGTTTTTTGGTTTTAGTTCAAATTCCTTGGTTGATTAGTTGGATTGTTTTTTTGGGTTTGGGGAGTGGTGGTGGCAGGTGGGTGGGTATTAATTGTTTTATTTTTATACATTACCTTTATTTCTGTTCTTTTTTCTCTCTTTCTCTCTTTCCTTCTCTGTCTTTCTTTCTCTTTCTCTTTCTCTTTCTCTTTCTCTTTCTCTTTCTCTTTCTCTTCTCTTTCTCCTTCTCTTTCTCTTTCTCTTCCTCTTCTCTTCCTCTTTCCCTTTCCCTTCCTCTTCCTCTTCCTCTTCCTCTTCCTCTGCCTCTTTCTTTCCTTTTTTTTTTACCAAAGGACTTTCCTTTCTTTCTGTTATAAACAATAACATTTCTGTAATAGTCTTTTTTGCAACCATAACCCCTTCAGTTCTGTCTATGTCCTTGGTTTTTAACATTTACTTTCTCTGAACAGAATCCTCGCAAATTGACTTTGCACCTGGACCAGCTACTTCATCTCCTATTCCTATTACTCCTCCTGCTCCTGCAGGTAAGTCTGCTTTTCAAGAAATTATAGTTTCTTAGAAGTGAGTTTCCATGCTGCTCAGCTTCAGTAGGTAAATACAACAATACTTGATTTTAAACATAGTGGTGCAATAAAACTAATGATAAGAGAAATGATCTGTGACTTTACAGAATAGAAAGGGGATGGTGAAAGATAAAACAGGCATTAAAATTACTACTGTTTTTTTTTTTTTCTATTGTCCTGATTAGCTTAGATATTTTTGGTTTTAGTTTGGGTTTGGTTGGTTGAATCTATTGTTATTGGGTAGTAGTGGTGGTTGTTGGGTGGATGTTTTCTTTTTGTTTTTGATGGGTTTTGATTTTTGGTGGGTTTTTGATTTCTGTTATTTTTGTCTTTCATTTCTTTCCTGTCACTTTCTTTTTTTTTTTTTTTTTTTAATGAAGTCTTTTCTCCTTTCTTTCTGTTAGCAACCATTAACATTTCTGTATTGGCCCTTCTTTGCAACCATAACCCCTTCAGTTCAGTCATTTCCTTGCTTATTAAAATTTCTTCCTCCGAGTAAAATTTTTACAAGTTCACTTTGAATCCAAAGCAGCCGGATTTTCTCCTCTTTCTCCTGGTGGTGCTATTCCTCTTCCTTCTCCTATTAGTGTTGGTAAGTCTGCTTGTTAAGCAATTGCACTCATTAGAATTTGGGTTCCTAGCCAGCATCTCCCTTCATGCTGCACAGCTTCTGTAGGAAAATAGAACATCAATTTTTAATGTAAACATAATGGAGCAATAAAAGTAGTGCTAATGGAAACAATCTATGAATTTTCAGAAGAAAAAGGGAATGGTGGAAGATAGCAGAACAATTAAAATTACTACAGTAATTTATTTTTTATATTGGACCCCCTTTGCTTGGGTTTTTTTATTTTCCTTTGGTTTTGGTTCCTTGGGGAGTTGGATTTTTTTGGTTTTGGGAAGTGTTGGCTGTGGGGTGGGTTTATTTGGTTTTTTTGGTATTACTATTTTTTGTCTTCCCTCCCTCCCTCCCTCCCTCCCTTCCTCCCTTCCTCCCTCCCTTCCTTCCTTCCTTCCTTCCTTCCTTCCTTCCTTCCTTCCTTCCTTCCTTCCTTCCTTCCTTCCTTCCTTCCCTCCTTCCTTCCTTCCGCCACTTCCTTCCTTCCGCCACTTCCTTCCTTCCTTCCTTCCTTCCTTCCTTCCTTCCTTCCTTCCTTCCGCCACTTCCTTCCTTCCGCCACTTCCTTCCTTCCTTCCTTCCTTCCTTCCTTCCTTCCTTCCTTCCGCCACTTCCTTCCTTCCGCCACTTCCTTCCTTCCGCCACTTCCTTCCTTCCGCCACTTCCTTCCGCCACTTCCTTCCGCCACTTCCTTCCTTCCTTCCTTCCTTCCTTCCTTCCTTCCTTCCTTCCTTCCTTCCTTCCTTCCTTCTGCCACTTCCTTCCTTCCTTCCTTCCTTCCTTCCTTCCTTCCTTCCTTCCTTCCTTCCTTCCTTCCTTCCGCCACTTCCTTCCTTCCTTCCTTCCGCCACTTCCTTCCGCCACTTCCTTCCGCCACTTCCTTCCTTCCTTCCTTCCTTCCTTCCTTCCTTCCTTCCTTCCGCCACTTCCTTCCGCCACTTCCTTCCTTCCTTCCTTCCGCCACTTCCTTCCTTCCTTCCTTCCTTCCTTCCTTCCTTCCTTCCTTCCTTCCTTCCTTCCGCCACTTCCTTCCTTCCTTCCTTCCTTCCTTCCTTCCTTCCTTCCTTCCTTCCTTCCTTCCTTCCTTCCTTCCTTCCGCCACTTCCTTCCGCCACTTCCTTCCGCCACTTCCTTCCTTCCGCCACTTCCTTCCTTCCTTCCTTCCTTCCTTCCTTCCTTCCTTCCTTCCGCCACTTCCGCCACTTCCGCCACTTCCGCCACTTCCTTCCTTCCTTCTGCCACTTCCTTCCGCCACTTCCGCCACTTCCGCCACTTCCGCCACTTACACCACTTCCGCCACTTCCTTCTGCCACTTCCTTCCTCCACTTCCTTCCGTCACTTCCTTCCTTTTTTTTTTAACAAAGGCTTTTTCCATTCTTTGTATTAGAAACCATTGACATTTTGTAATAACCTTTCCTTGCAGTCACAAACATTCCAGTATTGTGCATTTCCTTGCTTATTAAAATTTACTGTCTCCAAACAGGATCTCTGCAAGTTCACTTTGAACCTAGTGTTACACCTCCTGCTCCTATTCCTCTTCCTCCTCCTATTCCTGCTTCTGTTCCTGCTGCTTTTCCTGTTTCTGCTCCTGCTCCTGTTCCTTCTGCTGCTGCTGTTCCTGCTCTCGCTGGTAAGTCTGTTTTCCAAGCAATTGTAGTCACAGGGATGTGGGTTCCTAGCCAGCACCTCCCTTCAGGCTGCACAGCTTCTGTAGGCAAACAATACTTAAATAGAAACATAAGGGAACATTAAATCTCCTGCTAAGAGAAACATTTTCTGAGACTTTTTTCAAAATAGAAAGGGGATGGTGAAAGCTAACAAAGGGATTGAAATTACTCCTGTCATGTTTGTTTTCTCTTGGTCCCTATTTTTGATTTTAGTTTGGGTTTGGATGCTTAGCTGCTTGGATTTTTTAGTTTTGGAGAGTTGTTGTGGTGGGTGGGTGGGTGTTTGATTTTTTTTTTTTTTTTTTTATTTCTTCTTTCTATTTCTTTATGTTTATTTTAACTGAAGACTTCTTCCTTTCATTATGTTAAAAACCAGTAACCTTTTTTTAATCGTCTTTCCTTTCAACCATAACCAATTCAGCATTTCCTTGCCTTTTAAAATTTCTTCTCTGAAGTCAATTTACTTTCTCTGAACAGACGCCTTTCAGCATCGCATTTCACCCCAAGCAGCTGGAAGACCTCGTACTCCTGTTTCTGCTCCTGCTGGTAAGTCTACCTGTCAAGCAATTGTGGTCCCTTGGATGTGGGTTCCTAGCCAGCATCTCCTTCCATGCTGCACAGCTTCTGCAGGCAAATACAACAATATTTGATTGCAAACATCATGAAGTAGTAAAACTGGAGCTAACAGCAAAGCTGTAAGACTTTTCTCAGAAGAGAAAGAGGATGGTGAAACCTAACACAGGGATTGAAATTACTACTATAATTTTTTATTCTCTGAGGGTGTGGCACAGCAGTTTGCATAGCACTTTGTGCAGGCAGAGTTGCAACTTTTCTTGCCAGTAAGGTTTGCTGTGTGTTGTTTGCAGTGTTTCTGTTGGTTGGTGGGTTTTGGGGTTTGTATTAGTAATGATTTCTATGCAATTGAAAACTGTAGTTAGTACAAGTGTACATAGTCAAATGGAACCCTCCAAAAAGGTTACATCTGTCCAGACCCATTCTTGTGCAGAGTGTTTGAGCTTAGCAGCAGTTTCAGGGGCAGTTGTGGAGGAAACCTGCCTGCAGTGTGAACAGGTGAACAATCTCCTTTCACTGGTGGCTGAGCTTAGAGAGGAAGTTTAAAGACTAAGGAGTATCAGGGATAGTGAAAGGGGAATAGACTGGTGGATTTGCCCTTCCATCCTTGAGGGAAGCCCACCAAGAGTCAGAGGACTCCCATGCCTCTCACTGTCGGACAATAGAAGGACACCTGGTAAGTGGAGTGGAAATGGGTACCTACTTGAGGAGGTAATAATAAAAATTCCTCCCGACCCTCATCCCCAAGCCAGATGCCACTTCAGAATAGGTATGAACCCCTGGATCTAGAGAGTCAGCCAGATGATTTAGAAGAAAATTATCTGCCCAGTGAGCCTCCCACTCATCTGTGAGAAGGATTACCACCTCTGGCATCAGGAAGAAAAAAAGGGTCATTGTAGTGGGTGGCTCCCTTCTAAGGGGAACAGAGGGCCCCAAATGACAACAGGACCCACCCCACAGAGAGGTCTGCTGCCTCCCTGGGGCCTGGGATATCACTGAGAGACTTCCTGGGCTGAGTCAGCCCTTTGATTATTATCCACTGCAGATATTCCAGGCTGCCAGTGATGAGATTGAAAAGAGGAGTGTCAGGACAATTAAAAGGGACTTTAGGGCACTGGGACAAGTGGTTGATAGGACAGGGGTACAGTGAAAGGAATAGGAGAGCTCGCATTATCAACAAGTGTCTCAAAGATTGGTGTCATCAGCAGAATTTGGGTTCTTTGATCATGGGGCAACTTTTACAGCACCTGCTCTACTGGAACCAGATGGGCTCCATCTTTCTGTTAAGGACGGAAGGTTTTTAGCTCATGAACTGGCAGAACTTGTTGAAAGGACATCGAACTAGGTCTGAAGGGGAAAGGGGATGCATCTGGGCTGTCTGGAAGCAGGCCCAAGGGTGGTAAGCCTGAGACAGGAGTGAAATCAGCAGCCCAGCTGAGTTGCAGGTATACCAATACACGCAGCACAGGTTACAAACAAGAGCTCGAGGCCATGGTAAAGCAGCAAAGCTATGATGTAATTGCCACCACAGAAATGTGGTAGCATGACTCACATGGCCGGAGTGCTGCACTGGATGGCTACAAGTTCTTCAGGAGAGACAGGAAAGGGAGAAGAGGTGGAGGGGTGGCCCTTTATATTAGGGAGGCTTTTGATACCATGGGTATTGAAAGTTATGAAGATGAATGGCTACGGGTAAGAATTAAGGGGAAGGCCAACAAGGCTGACATCCTACTGGGAGTCTGTTATTGTCCACCCAACCAGGAAGAAGTGGTGGGCAATTCATTCTATAATCAGCTAGAGAATGTTTCTGGATCATCAGACATTTTTCTTGCTGGCGATTTCAACCTGCCGGACATTTTTTGGGAACTCAATACAGCTGTAAAAAGGCAGTCCAGGAAATTTTTTAGAGTTTGCAGAGGACAATTTTTTGTCACAGCTGGTAGGTGAACCCACCAGGGGAGTGATAATGTTAAATCTGTTATTTGCAAATAGAGATGGACTGGTGGGAGATGTGGTAGTTGGAAGTCACTCAGGGCACAGTGATAATAAAATTCTAAAATTCTCTATATTTGGTTAAATCAAGAGGAACATTAATAAGACTT